CCGCCCCGAGCGTCCGCGCTGGCGGTGTGCTCGGCAAAGATGGGTGGCCCTGGTGAAAACCAGCGGGCGCTGGGAGTGGAACAAGAGGTCCCCGGGGATGGGCTGGAGGAGGAGCGGAGCCCCGAGCCGCATGCCCACGTGGCTGGTTCAGCCCGGGATGGGCACCAGAGCCCAGGGGTCCTTGGGTACGGGACCGGCTCTGCAGGGCATCCCCTGCCCCATGTCACCCTTGGGCAGAGACTGGGGCGTTCGGAGCTGCCTAAGGGACACGGAGCATCACTGCGAGATGGGGACAGTGGAGCTGGTTGTGGATTTGAGGGTAGCATCTCTCTCCCTCCACCCCCAGGAATGAAAAACAAGCCCCCCCAGAAATACCGGCTGCGATTCTCCCTCCGCTCAAGCTCCACAAGCACAAAAACACCAGCTCTGCCTCCTGCCTCCACCTCCTGCCTCCACATCAGTCCGGTGAAGGGCAACACATCCCCCCGAACCCCAAATCCAAGCGAGAGATGTTGAAGGACATGAGGAACCCACAGCCGGGGGGGAGCACAGCCAGGACCTGTCGCCCCATCCCATTTCACCTCCTGGACCTGTCAGGCTGGGGGGTCAAGGCAAGAACAGTTTGGGATCTGGCTGGTCTCCATAGTTACCTCATCAGGTCCGTTAGGGATTAATTGGGAGGGGGGAGAAAGATGGAAGGAGCCCCCCCAGAAAGCAGGGAGCCCAGTGGTTTGGGACTTGTCTCCTGGCTCCAGAGCCCTGAAATGTCACGAAGGGGGAAAAGAGACGGGAAACTCCCGTCCCTCGCTGTGCCTCAGGGAGGGGGAGGGATAAGAGCTGGGCAGGCACCGAGCCCAAAATTTTTTTCCAATTTTTCCCATCCACTTTCCAGACCCCCCAGGCAAGGAGCAATGAGGCAGAATTGAGCCGGGAAGCTGGTGCTGACTTTACTTGCAGAAATCAGGAAAAATAACCAAAAACATAGCCACAAAAATCAAGTGGGGAGGGAAAAGGGGACAAAACACACCCCCCCCTCCAAACCTGCCCCGTGCCTCAGTTTCATCCCCCAGCGCAGGAACGCCTCGAGACCTTTGGCCCCGCGTGACCTCCCCACCGGCAGACGGCCAAAATAACCACAGCCCCCACAGAAAAAATCAGAAACTGCAGAAACCTCCCCAAACCCTCGCCAGCAGTGGGATGGGGACAACAGGGACCCCACGCTCAGTCCCCCCATCACTCCATCCCCCCTCCCTCCAGGGATCTGCCAAAAAACACCGGAATTGCCGAGTTCCCCCGCCAAGATGAATGGGGTTGTCTGTGCCCTGGGACTGATTTATCCCCGGCTCTCCTGGCATCGCCCGGGCCGGGGCTATATTAGGAAAGCTGCCCCGGTGTAATTAAATCCAGCTAAAGACCCGGCGAAGGACACGTGCTCCAGCCGGGTTCGCTCGGGGCAACAAACCCACTGCGGCAACGGAGGAAAAACCGGGGGGACTCAGCGGGTGAGAGGAGCTGGATCGTGCTCCCGGGGTTTGGGAGGGACCTGGGGAGTTTTTGGGTGGTGGGGTGGCAGAGCCTTGCTGCCCAGGTGGGCTGTGCAGAATAAAAACGTCCTTTTTTTTTTTTTTTCTTTTTCCTCCTTGTTTTCCTCCCCCTTTTCCAATAAAAACTGAAGCTCTGATGTCATCCCCAGGGTCTGGAAGCCGGAGGCCCAAGGTAACGGCTCGGCATTTAATGCAGCCCAGATGTGAACGGCGCAGGCTGCACCTCTTTGTGCCAGCCTTCC